GGGTAGGTCTGTAAGAGTCGCGGTGAGATCCAGCCGTACAGTCAGGAGTTGGACACGAACGCATCTTGCTAAAGAATTGAGCCCTTAGTGGTTTGTATTAGAAAAAAGAGTTTGACTGAATGAAAAAATCCAGCAGTTATTCACACAAATCTGAAAAAAAACGCAGATTAACTCTCAACCGTTGTGCTTTGTGTCCAACGCGCGCCCCGCCAGCCTTCGCGCAGAGCGGCCAGCACGGGGTGAAGGCATCGATCCGCAGGGGTCCCAGCAGGTACCACGGCTCTTCCCCTAAGCCCTTGGGCAAACACCGTTAATCCCGGTTGAGTTATCTTCAATTCCCGAGACTAAAGCGAAGTACAACCACCGCGGAGCTGGCGGGAGCTCACCATGGGCCCACCGAGGCGGAGGACGCGTAGGCACGCCGGCTTGCTTGGTTCTCTAGATAAGGCGGAGCTGGCACTTGGGTTTTAGCTGGGCTGCTTCCGGGGAGCCCTGAACAGACGCCAACCTGTGTGCGAGGGGCCCGAATCGCTCCGGATTTAGCAGCCACCCCGGATCCAGACCTAATCCAAGCCTGGTTGAGGTGTTTTGTCCCACGCACACACGAACGTTCACACCAGCCAAGCCTATTTCTTTACAGCCAGGTTAAAGGGGGAAAAAAAGAAAACAACCCCAAAAAGCTCAGTGCTCGGATGGACCCACCCGTGGGCACCGGTGCCAGGGGGACAGACGGACAGACGGACGCACGCCCTGGGAGAGGGATCCCGAGGGATCCCTGTGAAACCCTCCCTCGCCTCAGCACCGATGATTTTCAAAGCCCTCCAATGCCACTCCCTGCCTGTGGCCGGTGGGGACCCCCACAGAGCCTCCCCACCAGGCCGGGGTCCCCTCTCCTGGGACCAGAGCATCCTCCCAGCCCAGAGGATGGAGCAAGAGGGGGCGAATCCACACCCGAAGCAGGCAGAGAAGATTTGAGCTTGGCGGGTGCAGGAGCAGAGACGCCTGGTGAGAAGATCGGGGAGACACAGGGGTGGGCAGCAGCACCGCCGACCCAACGCGCCCCGAGAACCAAACCCGGAGGGGTCAGCGCCATCCAGAACCCGGTTCACTTGGCACGCCTGCGAATGCCAAGATTGGGGCTGGCAGCACCGGTCCACATCCTAATTAATCACAGAGTAATTAATACGGACGGAGAAGACAGCACCGTGTCAGAAACTGCGCACACTCCCGCAACGCGGCCTGGGCTCGCCAGCTCTCGAGCGGTTGGTGACGGGGTGAGGGGACGTCAGGGGCACCCGAGCCTTGTGCTTCGTGGTTGGACGCGATGAACTTCAAGGTCTTTTCCAACCAAAACCACTCGACGATTCACAACAGGGCCGCGCTACGAAACCACCTCCGCTTTCTGTCCACGCCACATCCGAATCGCGACTCTGAGGACATGGGGGGAGCGCATAAAGAGCGGCTTTTCCAGGGACGGGAGTGCTCCCTCCCCAGCCGGGACCACGGCAGCCGTCAACTGGCCCTAGGAGGATTGCTGGGGAAGCGCTTTAAAACCACTGCAAATAACTTGGTATTTAAAAATTACTCAATCTGTCGATGCTTATATACAAGAGTCGGTTCTTGTGCTATAAATGTTATGATTCATTGCTTCGCTTCTTTTCTTTTTTTCTTTCTTTTTTCTTTTTTGAAAAATACACTAAGAGACAAGAGCTGTTTTGCTATTTTCTAATGAAGACACTACTCACGCTTAAATATCCAGTATTTTTTCATAGTAACAAATTCAAACAGTAAAGTGCACCCATTTACAGAGAGAACAGATGGAAAACCGTTAGTGCAAGAATCCTGTGAAAAATGTAACACGTGGGATCGTGAAAAAAACCTGCACGCCACAGCACTGAAGCCTTCTTTCGGCTTGGTGTTCGTGTTAAAAGGGTGAGCTGGATTTTTCTCCTTAAAACACCTTCAGGAACCCAACATTTATACAGAGAAGTGCTGCGAGGGGACGTTTTGGGAAGGACGGGACCGGGAGCGCAAGGCAGTGAGGAGTGAACACGAAGCATGGGCAGTTTTCCCATCGCTGCTCTCGCGCCGTCCCCGTCGCATCTCGGCCGATGGCCGCAATTAAATGGGGACGGGGCTGAATTTGGGGACTTTTTCCTTCCAAAGGAGGAACTAAAAGGAGGAAGCCTAAAAGGAAAGGATGGGAGGCGCTGAGCGAAGCGACCGGTGCTGCTCCGGCCCCATAGATCTGTGAATCCCAGCTACGGGGGCACTGGATGAGGGGAGAAATGGGGTGTGGGTGTTCCTCACAACGCAGAACACGCGGCTTAAAATAAGAGAGGAAGAGAAGAAATCATCGCAGCCCCTTCGCAAGGAGAGAAACAGCGCATGGAGCTGAGCATTCCCACGGCCGGAGGGGTCTCCCGGTGTCCCCCCGCCTCCAGAGCCCCATGATAACACCCAGGCAGCACCTTGAGAAAGGAAACACCGACGGCGATGCAAATACCGCCTTGGATAAATACCAAATAACCTCAAAAAGCACGAAGATCTCCAGACCCTGCAGAGGAACCTCCCCCCGAATGCTCTCAGGGTGTCGACGAGACGTTAAGGCTCCCTCGTCCCGAAGTGAGCACGTCCCAGCTCGCACCAGGCAACGAAATCACAACCAGAGGAGCTGATCCGGAAAAAAAAAAACCACCCAAAAAAGCCCCATCGAAGCCAGGGTTTGCTTCAGAGTTTTGGGCACCAGTTTGCTCTAAAATGAGCTCTGTGGTTATCGCGTTTCCCTCCCCATCGTCCCATCCTTCGCTCTCAGTAACCCAAAAGGCAGATTACACGCCCGGCGGGAATAAATGAAGCTCTCAAGAAAGTCCCTCTGCTCCTGCCCAAAATTTCAGAGAATAATGGAAAAATTATCGACAGTCCCATAAAGGAGGGTTTTGGAAGCGTTCCCTGCTTTTCATGCTATCCTGATGCGATTTGCATCTGATTTAAAAGGAAAAAAAAAGAATAGAAGAAACAACCTAAACCAAAAAAAGGTCCTGAAATAGACTGTATAAATAAATTAGAAATACCTCTTTTAACTACAGGTCCCTAAAAAGCAGAACATGGTCTCTATCACTTCCAGGTACACAACACGGCCATCGCTTTCCAAGATTCTGGGAACAGAGCACAGCCAAAGGGGAGGGACGCTGCCGGGCTGGGTTTGCAGAAGGACCCTTCCTGTCTCGGGAAGCACCGTGCCACATTATGCGTCCTCACCTTAAAAACAGCTTAAAAAAGAGCTAAAAATTGCAATTCTCCTCCTCGAATACCATTTTCTATGTCAGATTTTTGGTGTTTTCCTCGCAAGGAGGAGATCCTCACCAAACAAAAGCCCCGACGTGAAACGGTCCCGGTGAACACGCGGCGCTGCGTGGGAGGTGCCGTGATCTGCTAAGGGCGATGAAGAAGCCGCGGTTGCAATCCCAGCTCACGCGCAAGAGGTTTCTGACCGATTCCCTTTGCTGATTCAATCACCTACACCTCCACCTCAAGGCCGACCTTCATCTCTCAATGCTTGTGAGATGCCCCAGAGCAAGGCGGTGTCGGGGCGCCCGGCGGGGAGCCTGCGAAGCATCGTGCGATCCCCAACCCCTTTTGGCCGATGCCGCGATTGAACGACGAAAGGATCCAATTCGGATTAAACTGCTATGAACCCGACGAAGCAGAGTGGTTATTGTGCATAGCTGCTTGGTATTACAACACATCGCGCCCTCACTCGCCGCGGGTGATTTGCTGCTTGGGGGCAAAGAGCCGAAGGACCCACCTTGGGAAAGGCTCCTGCCATCCCTGCTCTGCTCCCGCTAGGAATTCCCATCCGAATCGAGTGAGAACTCATCGAGACCAAGGAAACCAACTTAAATTGAACGCGATTGTCTCTCGAAAAAGAAGAGCTCGTTACCTCCCGCTGCGTAGGGGCTATTTCTGGACCACCCCGCACCACGTACTAAGGTATCCTGCTTGGGAACTGAGCTGGAATTGGGCAAACGAACCCGGCTCGGCTGATGTCGGCTTCGCGGTCAGCTGGGGAGCGAAAGGGCTGGAGCACGTGCATGGCTGTCTGACCACCACACAAAGTACCGGAGAAACTTGGTCATGTAGCTACCAAAGAGAAATAAAAATCATCATCATAATAATAATAATCATAATAATAATTAATAATAATAATAGTATGCATGGAAATCAAGCTTGGAAGTGTGTGTTGAAAACATGAGGGTCTGAACTCCAACTTTTACACATTAGACTCCACAAATGGTCTCTTTGGTTTGATTGGGGATGTCTGCCCTTGCCTGGAGTCCCTGGAGAGCTGCCTGTAGAGGTTGTCCTGGTAGGCCTGCGCCACAGGCAGTGTCCTTGCCACCTTGACGTCGGGATACGAGGAGGCTTGGGTGACTCTCTCCAGGAGGTCTCCCCGGGACCCATTGGCCAGCATCCCATGGGGGCTGTAATAGTCTTCCTCTAGCAAATGGCCATTCTGTGCATTGTTGGTTTTGTTATAAAAGGCAATGTTGCTGATTGAAGAAGGCGGGCTAAATGATTCCGGCTGGGGGAGGTTGCCAGGAGACGTAGGACTAATGACGGTGTCCACTGATGACACGGCCCAGGTCCGGTTCTGCTGATGGAGGTGGGGGTACTGCTGAGTCCGAGCGGTTTTATCTATGATTCCCATGAACGGCGTGGTCCGGGAACGGGCCGGCTCGCTGGGGTAACCCCCCTGCGTGGGGGAGACCGGAGAAAGTTCATCGCAGGATCGGTCGTAAGCTGGCTTGAGAGGAATCTCCATTTGCTGAATCGAGGCGGAAGGGCGGAAATTGGGAGTCAGGTTGGAGGTGGAGGAGATGCTATTGCTGGAAGGGGAGAAGCGGAGGCCGACGCTCTGAGAGTGGAGCAGGGGCCTTGGAGTCGGCGGGTGAGGCTTTATTTCGCTGGGATTCACGCTGATGGGCCTTCTGATGAGGTGAGACACGTCTGGAGAGCCCAGCTGGTTGGCGGGGAGGGAAGAACGCTCCAGGTCGAGCTTGGAGTGACACACCGGGTAGTAGGAGGCGGACTGGCTGCGCCCGATCTGCGGCGTCTGGCTGTACCTCATACCCCCCCTGTACGCCGAGGACGGTCTCTGCGGAAGGTCTTCTTTAGCCAGGCCTCCGTGCTGACAGATTGCTCCCGCGCTGAGGCTCGCCTGAACGTGCTGCACGGGTCTGCTGTCCCCCACGATGCCCCCGATGGAGCCCTGGTAGACCAACCTGCTCTGGCTAACCCCCATCTCCCCTGACGCCGACTGGTACTTGCTGGCCATCGAGTGGGCGACCTGGCTGTAAGCGCCGGTCGGGATGACGGTACTCGAATGGACGGCCGAGCTGGGCTGGTTGCTCCTCACGATCTGCGCCTTGGCCGGCTGCAGCCTCAGCGCCTGCTGCGGCACGGCCACGGGGAGCTGGGGCATCTGGAAGGACCTCTGCGTCATCTTGGATAAGGGAGACTTTGGTCTACCGGGGAGCTGGCTGACCCCGCTGGGTTCCTGCTGGTAACGGACCGGGGAACCGGACTGTGACCGATAAACGCTCATGCTTTCTGCTGGGGGGCTGGCGCGGTACTGAGGACCTCTACGAAGAGGAGAGGGTGGTGGGCTTTGATATTCCTTCCCTTGACTTCCCACAGGAGGTGGGCTGAAGCGGTAGGAGGAGCCCTGGTGAGCAGGGGACGTGTGCGGAGGACTGGGTCTGTAATGTGAGTTTTGGTGCGTCGGAGACAGAGCAGGAGACGTGGACTGGTACCCTTGCCTGGTTGGTGAACCCACGGAGCTATTGGACCTGAAATCAAAGACCTGATGAGAGCCAAGAGGTGAGCCAGAAATATAGGCTGAGTCCCTGTGAGCTGGGGACGGGGGTGGGCTCTGGATGATGGGCAGCCCTTGGTTTGGCCTGGACTCTGTCTGCAAGCCAATGGAAACGTTTTCTACGTCCTGCTCCAGGTATTCCTCCTCAAAGATGTCCTGCACAGAATACAGCTCTTCGTGCTGGGCTTCAGGTTCGGGCTCTGCCGGGAGCGGAGGCGGCTGCTGCTGCTGCCGCTGTTGCT